CAGGTGTTTCGGCCTTCAACCCCAGAAATCCTATCAGCTGGTAAGCTGACTGGTTGAAATTCACTGCACTAGAGTGTCCACTTGGAATGGTGTGCTACCTTCTGCAGATTTATGGGATTTGTAGTTTAAGCTGCTCAGCCGAAGAAATCCTGGACCTCATTAGCCTCATTAACTACAAATGCCAGTATTCTGCAGGAGGCAGCCACAGGATTTAAAGTGGATAGATAGATCCTAGATCCCTTTCACATGAACTGTTTTCAAGCCAGCTGTCACCCATTGCTATATATAGAATCATAGAATCATCAAGTTGGAAGAGACCTCATGGGCCATCCAGTCCAACCCCCTGCCTAGAAGCAGGATTATTGCATTTAAAGCACCCCTGACAGATGGCCATCCAGCCTCTGTTGAAAAGCTTCCGAAGAAGGAGCCTTCACCACACTCCGGGGCAGAGAGTTCCACTGCTGAATAGCTCTCACAGTCAGGAAGTTCTTCCTCATGTTCAGATGGAATCTCCTTTCTTGTAGTTTGAAGCCATTGTTCCGTGCCCTAGTCTCCAGGGAAGCAAAAAACAAGCTTGCTCCCTCATCCCTGTGACTTCCTCTCACATATTTATACATGGCTATTATATCTCCTCTCAGCCTTTCATTTTTATTGCCAAAGTGGAGTAGCGTACCTCTCTCCCTGTCAAAATTCATTTTGTCAGAGTTGCCCAGCACTCTTAATTTGTGAAGGTCATTTTGAATCCTGATCCTGTCCTTGAGGGGTATTGGCTATCCCTCCCTATATGGTGTCACCTGCAAATTTGATCAGCATTCAGTCTATTCTGTCATCCAAGTCATTAATAAAGGTGTTGAATAGCCCAGGATTGACCCCTGTGGCTCCCCACTGGTCACTTCTCTCCAGAATGAAGCACCATTGGTAAGCCCCTTTTGGGTTTGGCCAGTGAACCAGTTAGAAATCCACCTATTCTTTAGTTTGACATAAGTCAAATGTCAATAACAGCAAGATGCTAAAGTTTGTGTGCATTTGTTTGTGTGTCAGGAGCAACTTGAGAAACTACAAGTCGCTTCTGGTGTGAGTGAATTGGCCGTCTGCAAGGATGTTGCCTTGGGGATGCCCAGATATTTTACCATTCTGTGTGAGGCTTCTCTCATGTCCTAGAGTGAGAAGCTGGAGCTGACAGAAGGAGCTCCCCCGGATTTGAACTGCCAACCTTTCGGTCAGCGGTCTTGCCAACACAAATGGGGGGGGGGCTGAGTCGGGGGGAGTGCTGAGTCTGAGTGAAAGAGGGTCTACCCTAGCAAACCTTTTGTATCGTTACCCCAATACCCCCATGCATATGGGATATATTGAGCATGGTGATCAGATCATGATATGAATAAACATAACAGTTTAAATAATGTACCAGTAAGCCTTCTCGCGGACACCCTGAGAATTTCGGGGGCGGGCTGAATCCCCTCAAGCCCCCCCCCCCCCCCAAGGCTACATGCCTGGGCCCATTCTTTGCTGGATTAGCAATCTGGGAGAATCAGTTTCAAATTGGTGCTCAGCCATGAAATTCGGTCTCACTGTGAGTCTGTTGCACTCTTTCTTCAGCGCTTTTTGTCCCAGAAAGTATTCCGACATTAAAGTAATTTGGTATTGATCTTCAAATTATTTTCTGAAGCAAGTTTCTGAGCTGCACAGAGCTCTTCAGGACTGGTTTGCCATCATTCGGTTCAGTTTGTATTTATTCCTGTAAAATAGTCTCTACCTCAAGTAAAAAGTTTTCATTTTTAGGCAATTTTTTTCCTGGGAACTTGATTTGGTATTAAATGCTGTTTCCGGTTCTCTTCTTGTGTTTTCTGTAAAATTACACAAAACAAGATCCTAAAAGTTAGTCCTGTTTAATGTATTGTCAAAGGCTGGAATCACTGGGTTGTTGTTGGTTTTTCAGGCTGTATGGCCATGTTCTGGAAGCATTCTCTCCTGACGTTTCACCTGCATCTATGACAGGCATCCTCAGAGCATGTGAGGTCTGTTGTGAGATACCCTCTGAGGATGCCTGCCATAGATGCAGGTGAAACGTCAGGAGAGAATGCTTCTAGAACATGGCCATATATCCTGAAAAACCTACAACAACTTAGTCCTATTATTTACGGACATAGAATCAAAGAGTTGGAAGAGACCTCATGGGCCATCCAGTCCAACCCCCTGCCAAGAATCAGGAATATTGCATTCAAATCACCCCTGACAGATGGCCACCCAGCCTCTGTTTAAAAGCTTCCAAAGAAGGAGCCTCCACCACACTCCGGGGCAGAGAGTTCCACTGCTGAACGGCTCTCACAGTCAGGAAGTTCTTCCTCATGTTCAGATGGAATCTCCTCTCTTGCAGTTTGAAGCCATTGTACTCCATTCTCAAGTTCTCATTGCATTATAGTTTCCAGGTCTTTTAGCCAACACCTAAAGGGGAGGGGGGACCCAGTGTAGTGGTTTGAGTTACAACTCTGGGGACCAGCCTTCGAATCCCCCCTGTTCTATGGAAACCCACTGGGTGGCAATCTCACTATCTCAGCCTCAGAAGGGACACAAAGGCAACCCCACCAAACAAATCTCAGCAAAGATGCCCGTGATGGAGCCTGCATAAGTTAGTTATAATGTAAAAGCACACAGCAACAAAGTTGCTTGATAATGTGTGTGAGATAATGGGCAGACATGTGATGAGCTGTCGATAAGCCAAACAAACAGTTGTTGAAGGCAGCTGAGCCCTGATAGAGGCATATCTTTGGTGTCCTTAGGCCAGATGTGTAGAGCCACATGGGAATGATGGGTTGAGCAGCGACAGCTCTGTATGACTGTCCTTCGGGAGTAAAGGCTTGTGGCTTCATGGGGATCTCCAATTTCAGGGACTGAACCCTCTTTGGAAAAGGAATCCCAGTGTGAGAGCACTTCCTTGAAATGTGGCCGTACACACATTTTAATTCTAGGAGAAGGATTTTCCTCCCATCATGGTAAAAATATGCTCCATACAGAGGGCATTTTCAAAATGTTTTAGACATTTTTTAACATATGCAGACCAATTTCCCCATCCTTGCCTAAAATGTTTTAGCATGTTTCCTCTCTATACACTCAAGATATTAGGTGTCCAGCTTGAGCATCATGTATCTGGAATTATGAAAACCTCAGGAAGTGTCCATATGGGTGACTGAGATAGTCACACCTTTGCTATCTGATGGTGAAATGTACATAGACATTGTTTCATGACTCGAATTATTAAAAAAAATATTCCACAATTAGAGAAGTATTTATTTATTTATTTATTTATTTATTTAAAACATTTATATTCCGCTCTTCTCACTCCGAAGGGGACTCAGGGTGGAGCACAGCATATACAAGGCAAACATTCAATGCCGGGACATAAATTCACATACATTACATAAACATTAAAAAACATTTATCAGAATATTAAAATACACCATTTAAAACCATCCTAGTCATCCACATCAAATCTAATTGGCCTGGTCATCTTTCCTATTCCCACTTTATTGCCCTGTCCCAAAAGCTTGGTCCCACAGCCAAGTTTTTACCATCCTTCTAAAGGACAGGAGGGAGGGGGGCAACCTGATCTCACCAGGAAGGGAGTTCCATAGCCGGGGAGCAATCACCGGAAAGGCCCTGTCTCTCGTCCCCACCAGTCGTGCCTGTGACAATGGCAGGATGGAAAGCAGGGCCTCTCCGGAGGATCTTAATCTCCGTGATGGTTCATAGTGGGAGATGCGTTCGGACAGGTAGTTTGGGCCGGGGCCGTTAAGGGTTTTATAGGCTAAAGCCAGCATTTTGAGTTGTGCCCAGTAGCAAACTGGCAGCTAGTGGAGCTGGCATAACATGGAAGTTGTATGCTCCCTGTATACCGCCCCAGTTATTAACCTGGCTGCTTCTCCTTGGACTATTTGAAGCTTCCGAGCAGTCTTCAAAGGCAACCCCACATAGAGTGTGTTGCAGTAGTCTATCCTAGATGTAACGAGAGTGTGGACCACCGTGGCAAAGTCTGACTTCCCAAGGTACGGGCGCAGCTGGCACACAAGTTTTAATTGTGTGAATGCTCCCCTGGCCACCGCTGCAACCTGGGATTCCAGGCTCAGTGGTGAATCCAGGAGAACTCCCAAGTTGTGAACCTGTGCCTTCAAGGGGAGTGTAACCCCATCCAGCACAGGTTGCGACCCTGTACCCTGTTCGGCCTTGCAACTGACCAGGAGGACCTCTGTCTTGTCTGGATTCAACTTCAATTTGTTTACCCTCATCCAGACCATCACTTTCTGTCAAGTCAACTTTGACTTATAGTGACCCCATAAAGGAAAAATCTTCCAAGTCACCTTATCCCCAACAGATTGGCTTATGGTTTGCAAACTCAATGCAGTGGTGTTCTTGAGTTCACCACGAGAAAAGGGATCTTCCTCTTTTCCACTGTCTTCTAAGTCTAGCAGCCATTTATTTGCTCTATAGTGAGCCCTCTATATTTGCTGGGGTTCATGGTGCAGGACGCTACACAAATGAATAAACTGAAAACTGTGTGTGGTTTTTTTAACTTAAGATAATCCTTCCTTTGGAAATTCTAGTTCCTTCAACACTACTCCATGGACTTTCTCTGCTGGCAAGTGACCATAGAATCATGCTGAAAGACATACAAATGCACAAAGAATTGTTCTCTCTCGAAATCTCTTTTAAGTCTCCTGTCACAACCCTTATGACAGAAGTCACACTGGAGGAGCTAAGGATTCCTAAAGAGAACATATTGGTAAAATCTGTAAATGATTGCATCAGCAAAAATGAAACCTTCAAACACCATTTGTACCATTTTGGGTTGTTTCTTTTTTTAGCAGTCCATAGTGTGCACAAAACTTTTCTCCAGCACCATGTTTCCAATAAGTAGACTTTTTTTCCTATCCACTGTGTTCATTGTTCAACTTTCACAACCTTGCATAGACATACAAAATAACCAATCGCCCTCCTTTTCCTTCAAGGATCCATCTCCAAAATGTGGCGGTCTGTAGCGGCTCTGTGTCTTCTGGTGGCCCTTACCAGCGCCCGGAATGTCCCTTCCTTCCCTCCTCTCTCCCACGACATGGTGAACTACATCAACAAGCTCAACACCACTTGGCAGGTGAGTAATCCTTGGACTGGATAATGGAGTTGGAAAGAAGAAGTAGGGCCTAATAGAGGAAGAGGGTCTTCATCTATTGATCCAGAGAGGTATTGTGTGACAAATGATTCTGTTCAACTACATCAGCACTTGCTGAGATGTAATAGGAAGTAAAGTCGAGGGTACAAGAGAAGGAGACACTCAGCCATGGATATCCTTCCTGAAAGTAAGGCATCTTATTGTCCTTTGACACAACCAACTTCCTGCCCCTGATACCTTGAGTTTGAATGCAAAGCTTGGAGAAAATATATATATTTATTTTCTTGCTAGGCCCGCCACGCGTTGCTGTGGCTAACCTTTCCTCCCTCTTTCTCTCCTCCTTTCTTTCCTTCTTTTCTTCCTTCCCTCTTTCCTTCCTTCCTTCCTTTTTTTCTTTCATTTTCTCCTTCCTTCTCTTCCTCTTCCCTTCCCCCCTTTTCTTTTCCTTCCTCTTTCTCTCCTTCTTTCCTTCTCTGCCTATTCTTGGATTGCAACTCCCAGCAGTCCTCCTGATCTATCTACCTATCTATCTCTATCTTATCTATCTGGAGGATTGCTGGGAGTTGCAGTCCAGGAACAGGAAATTGGAAATATGCAGAGATTGGGATGCTCTCAAAGAAATCCAAGGAGAAGAAAGCTTGCATCTTGGAAGCAGCACAATTTGGATCATCCTCCTCTCTAAAAGGGCCTGGTCTAGGGGATGCTGGGAGCTGTAGTCCAGAAGAGAGTGTGGATATGTTATTGTGTGTTTTGTTTGCCAGAGGGAGTCCTTTTGTGAATGCACTGCAACGTCTTTTTGCTTTTTTGGCCTTTTAAGTCCCTTCTGTTGTGTTTTTCAGTGTTTTTATGAGTGATGGTCACTTGTTGGCCTGATAGGTGTATTGTGTCCAAATTTGTTGTCAATTCCTCCAGTGGTTTTTGAGTTATGTCAATCCCACAAACGAACATTACATTTTTATTTATATAGATTTCGCAGTACTGCTCTCAAAATTCCCAATTAGCCTTCTGACTGATGGAATTCTGAAAGAACATGGGGAGAAAACCAGTGTCTTAGTGGAAAAGCAAATGTTTTGTACATAGAAGGGCCCAAGTTTAACCCCAACCATCTTTTGACTGATGGAATTTTGGCAGCTAGTGTCTTTGATGGTAAATTGGGCAATTCTTCAGGATTTAGTAGAAACTTTACAAAAGGGTTGTTTTTTAGTGATCTTCGGCTCTCAATCAAAGTTTTTGGTTTAGGTTTTCACCAAGAGTCCATTTAAAGCAGCACAGTTAACTTGAGGTCTTGGTTCACCATTGGCTGGAAAATATTGACATAACATGTGTCCCTTTGATTTCTTACAAGGCTGTAGTAACTAGGGTGCCTTAAGAATGGTTTAAGACTTGGCCCAAGGGCATGAAAAATATTTACACCACAGGCCTCTGTGATGTTTGCACTATTGTCAAAATTTGGAGAGGACCCCTCCAAAGGGTAAGTATAATTGGCTTTCTAAGCCTTGTAGGTTTCTAGGAGCTACACTAGAATTAATGCAGTGATACCACTTTATGGTTCAAAGGTACAGAATTGTAGGAGTTTGCAAAGTCTTTAGTTTCATCTGCCAAAGAGTTCTGGTGTCTCAGGACCAGCACTCTTTCTACAACTCTTAGGATTCTGTAGCATCCGGTTCTGGCAGTTAATGTGTTGTCAAACTGCATTGATTTTAGGTTTAGATGCACTCTTCATTGTCCTTCTCTTTGTTATAACTTCACGATGTAGTTCTTGAATTCTGGTGTCCAAAACAGAACACAGTATTCTGGACAAAGTTTGACCAAAATAGAATTGTGTGGGACTAGGACTTCCCTTGACTTGTACACTTCATGTGCCCATTAAATCTTTGGACTGGAAGTGTCCCGTCGTGCCTGGGGGGCTATAACTCTTAGTCAAAGAGGCATGGACATGACATCTTTCCCCAAGGGATTGCTTCTTGCCCTCCTTTAGAACTGGAACTCCCAAGGACCAAAACATTGTAGATAACTCAAAATAGGTTTTATTGTTCACAAAGTGTTATCCCTTTAAGGCAATAAGCTGGAAGTTTCAAAGGGGTAAAGGGAATATACATTACAGTCTCTGGTTGTCTTGGGTCCAAGGAGATTTCACAGCTGAGAAGCTTTTCCTGTTCCCTCTTTTCTCAATGGCTGTGAATGCCGGAGAAATCCATAAGCCCAGTCCAAATGGCCTATGTTTGAAGACACAGTCTTCCTCTGGTGCCAAAAGAACTGGTTTGAAGGCGCTTGAGACTTCCCAACGTTGTTCAGGTTGGTCTGAACATGAAGCATAAGTCTCAAGGGTAAGAACCTCAGAATTGGTGCTGAGAGGTAACTTAATCAGGGGCTTTTAGAGCCAAGTCTCTTTCTCACGTCCATCTGATATAAAGTCTGATGGTGGAATGGAAAAGGAAAGCACTCCCTTCCTCCAGGAAGAGGTGGAGCCAAACAATTGAGCTGAGGCAGCAATATAACTGGTGCAAACAACATTGATTGACATCTATAAATAACCAATCAATCCAACTATACAATCATATTATGCCTTCTTAGCTGGACAATTGGATACCCCTTAAAACTTCTGTTTTTTTGTTTTTTCTTAAGGCTGGACACAATTTTCACAATGTTGACATGAGTTATGTGAAAAGGTTGTGCGGCACATATTTGCACGGCCCCAAGTTGCCCGAAAGGTAAGGCGTTTATTCTCTTTGCTGTTAATATTGCTGTAAACTTTGGACCTTTTGAGACAAAACAACTGTCTAGTCTTTAGCTCTCAAGGTTGTCTTTCCGATAACAGTCATCTCCTGAAAGAACAGGGAGAGAAAACAAGTGGCTTAGTGGAAGAGCAAATGTTTTGCACATAGAAGAGCACAGGTTCAGTCCTAAGAGTTTTTGATAGGTACGGAAATATTTCTGCTTTTAACCCTCAAGGACCATTATTATAATAGATTGTACCATCCCTTGTATTATCCTTTGACTGTCATGATGCCATCCTATGAAATGTTGGGATTTGATATTTAGGGAGGAAGGGCAGTTAGAATTCTAAGCCAAATTGCTTTTGTGTGATTTCCTCAAACTTTGGTCTGCTGGATGTATTTGGAATTAGAATCATGGAGTTGGAAGAGACCTTGTGAGCCATCCAGTCCAACCCCATTCTGCCAAGAAGCAGGAAAATCACATTCAAAGCACCCCCAAAAGATGGCCATCCAACCTCTGTTTAAAAGTCTCCAAAGAAGGAGCCTTCGCCACACTCTGGAGCAGAGAGTTCCACTGCTGAACAGCTCTCACAGTTAGGAAGTTCTTCTTCATGTTCAGGTGGAATCTCCTTTCCTGTAGTTTGAAGCCATTGTTCCATTGCATCCTAGTCTTCGGAGCAGCAGAAAACAAGCCTGCTCCCTCCTCCCTATGACTTCCCCTCACATATTTATACCTGGCCCTCATCATGTCTCCTCTCAGCCTTCTCTTCTGCAGGCTAAACATGCCCAGCTCTTGAAGCCACTTCTCATAGGGCTTTTTTCTCCAGGCCCTTGATCATTCTAGTCACCCTCCTCTGGACACATTCCAGCTTGTCAACATCTCCCTTCAATTGTGGTGCCCAGAATTGAACACAATGTGATTCCAGGTGTGGTCTGACCAAGGCAGAACAGAGGGGGAGCATTACTTCCCAGGATCTAGACACTTTCGGCTCTTGGGATTCCTGACCATTGGCTGATAGGGCTTTTGGAAATTGAAATCCAATATATTTGGGAGCTAAACCTCTAGTGCTTTCCCGAACTACAAACCCCAGAATCGCAGAGTATGCAGCCATTATAGTTTAAGTGGAATCATAAGTGTCATAGTTCTGTAACATGGAAGAACTCCCAACACTGGCAACACAGACCATTTAGGGCAATTGTTGTAATTGCAGTTGGAGACATGTGTCAAGGAGCAACTTACTAGGGAGACAACTTTGACAGGTTTTAGACCTTCTCGAGCTGTTTCTGGCCCTTAGGTATGGATTGTATTTCCCAAAGGAGAAAGGGACAAACCACAAGAAAGTTGCCTTAAAAAAATCTAAAAAGATACAATTTACATTTTGAACACCAAATAAATAAAATATCAGTGTTTGCAGTCTTCCAAATTACAGTGGGGATTGCCCATCTCTGTAGTAGGCTCAACCTATGGGTCCCAAGGTGTTTTGGCCCACAACTCCCAGAAATCCCAGCCAATTTACCACCTGTTATGATTTCTGGGAGCTGAAGGCCAAAACATCTGGAGACCCACAGGTTGAGAATAACTTATGTAGGGTATATTGCTATAGTCCTCAGAGGGAGCAGGCTTGTTTTCTGCTGCCCCGAAGATCAGAGTTGGGAGCAATAGATTTAGATTACAGGAAAGGAGATTTCACCAAAACATTAGGAAGAACTTCCTGACTGAACGATCTATTCAACAGTGGAACTCTCTGCCTCAGAGTGTGGTGGAAGCACGTTCCTTAGAGGCATTTCAACAGAGGCTGAGTGGCCATCTGTCAGGGGTACTTTGATTGTCTTTTTCCTGCATGGCAGGGGGTTGGACTAGATGGCCCATGTGGTTTCTTCCAACTCTATTATTATATGATTCTGTGAACTGTTTGGTGGCTAGAGATAGCAGTGGAGATGTGTTTCCATTAGTTTTCCAAGGGATATAAACACAATAAAGATAAGTAGTTTGTTGTGAAGTGGAGCTCTGATAAAAGAAGAAGAAGAAAACTTTAGTTATATTTCACTCTATCTCAGGGCAGATTCTAAACATAAAAGGCAAATATTCAATGCCCGAATACAATAACAATACATCCATACTAACAACATTTATAGAACCCAACATATAAAGCATACATGCACTTAACCAACACTCTCTCCCATTTTCTGCTCCCAAAACCAACAAGGTATGAGTTTGCAGGTGAGATGGAACTGCCAGACAGCTTTGACTCACGGAAGCAATGGCCAAGTTGTCCAACCATCAACGAGATCCGAGACCAGGGTTCTTGTGGCTCTTGCTGGGTAAGTTGGACTCTGAAGAAAATTGATGTGCAATTGGTATTGCAGACAGTAGGATCTCCAATTTAATGGGTATTAGGAGTGTGCTACACACATAAAGAGAACCTATTTAGCAAATCAGCAAATAATCAATTTGGTAAAAAGTTAAAGCTACAAATGTGGAGGCCCAACTGTCATTTTATATCTTATTATTCCTTCCCGCCCTCAATATGAGTACATGAACATACATAGTTCAGATTGTATATCTTTGCAAGATCTTTTACAGTGCCTTGTACATTGATGGCAATATATGAATATGCCATCATCAATTAACAAGGATTCATTTAGCAGATTTTATTTGGTCTGAGCCCACAATCAGTGACTTCCACATTAGTGGAAGTCACTGATGTGGAAGTCAGATTTTACTCTGAACATTAAAGCCATTCAGATTTTACTCTGAACATTAAAGCCACTATCAAAGACAGCAGACTGCTTACAGAACAACCCTTTGGATAGAAAAATAAATAGGTTGAATGTCCCCTATCCAAAATCCTGGGGATATTTCAGATTTGGGAGGATTTTGGAATTGTGTCTGTACATAATGAGATGCCTTGGAGATTGAATACAAATGTTTCATATATACCTTAAACACAGAGCTAATACACCATGGTGCCACCGGTGGCACAGCGGGTTAAACTGCTGAACTTGCTGACCGAAAAGTTGGCGGTTTGAATCCACGGAGTGGGGTGAGCTCCCACTGTTAGCCCCAGCTCCTGCTAACCCTAGCAGTTTGAAAACATGCAGATGTGAGTAGATCAATAGGAGGTGTTTATGGACAACGCTGGCTCTTTGGTTTAGAAATGGAGATGAGCACCACATCCCAGAGTCGGACACGATTAGACTTAATGTCAAGGGGAAACCTTTACCTTACACAGAGGTGAAGGCACTTTTACACACCAAATTTTTACAAATTCCTTCATAAAACAACATTTGGGTACACGGAGCCCTCAGAAAACCAGGGTGTCACTATCTCAGCCCACTCACGTGAGCAATTTTGAATAACGTTGGAATTCTGGATAAGGGATGCTCAATTTGTAATACCAATAATATAATTTTTTTCTTTAAAAATCAATAATATAAATAAAAACCTTAATTTCCATGAATTGCCACCTGCAGGCATTCGGTGCAGTGGAAGCCATTTCTGACCGAGTTTGTGTCCATACCAATGGCAAGGTGAATGTGGAGATCTCTGCAGAAGACCTTCTCTCTTGCTGCGGCTTTGAATGCGGAATGGGGTGAGTTGCGGTCTGGTCTTTAGAAATCCAGGTTCGTTTTGCTGGAGAGGATTTCCCATTCAGGACTGGAGAGCTCACCTGACTTTTGTTTCATTTTAAGGGGACTTTGGGTGTGGACCTCATGGGAAAAAGGCTTGTGATAATGATGCTGTGTGACTCTAACTGCTTTCCTTTTGATGACAAGAGATTAAGAGGGGACAAGGTCGCCATGTTCAAATAGTTGAAAAGATCTCACATTTAATCTGCTGAAAAAACAAAATTTGTTTTTGAGTGGGATTCCTTTGATTATACAATAAACCCACATATTATGTGGAGGATCTATTCATAACTTTTCATGCAATGATTTTTGCATAAACTGGAAGCTTAATTTTGTGTTTTGAGCATCTGACTGAAGCATATCATAGAATCTGGAGGTCCTAGAAAATAGCTTGAGAAGTATTCTCTCCAGTGTGATTCTGTGGTCAAATTCTGATAGTTTTCAACCACCTTTAAAAACTTCCATGCCTTATTTATTTTCTACATGAAACCTCTTCACAGCATAATCTAATTTTCTTCCTTGCAGATGCAACGGAGGCTATCCATCTGGAGCATGGAAATACTGGACTGAGAGGGGCTTGGTGTCTGGTGGGCTTTATGATTCTCATGTGGGTGAGTCACCTTCCTTCCCAAAATGGCTCTGGAAAGGATGAGTTATGTACAGTACCTTGTCATTTAGGATATTATTATAAATATTGACACAAAAACACAGTATGTCTCAGCTAACGAGATCTATATGCTGGATTTCGTATCACAAAATCACAAGTCGAACACTTCCCAAGCGTCTAGGAATGTGTGATGTAGTTTTGAATGATGTGTGCAGATCCAAGTAAGGTGACCTTTTGCAGTTGACAGAACGTGATTTTGTCAATATTCATTGTTTCCAAATGCCGGCTGAGGTCTTTTGGCACCGCACCCAGTGTGCTGATGATCACTGGGACCACCTGGACTGGTTTATGCCAGATCCTTAGCAGTTTGATTTTGAGGTCTTGATAGCGGCTGAGTTTTTTCTGTTGTTTCTCCTCAATGTGACTGTCACCTGGTATGGCGACATCAATAATCCAGACGTTTTTCTTTTCCACAATTGTGATGTCTGGTGTATTGTGTTCCAAAACTTTGTCAGTCTGGATTCAAAAGTCCCACAGTATTTTTGCATGTTCATTTTCCACAACCTTTGCGGGTTTATGATCCCACCAATTCTTTACTGCTGGCAGGTGGTACTTGTGACATAAGTTCCAGTGAATTATCTGGGCCACAGAGTTGTGTCTTTGTCTGTAGTCCATCTGTGCGATTTTCTTGCAACAGCTGAGGATATTATTTGGCCAGGTTGATTACTGTGACTATCCAGTTTGCTACTTTCTAAATGGAGTCACTGTCAAATCCCATTGGCACTTTGTGCCGGATTTCTTCACCCATTAGATGTCTCTAAATCTTGGGTGTTGGATGGTACAGGGGTGAAGAGGTGATTTCCCCATGTGATTTCAAATACATCATATCTTCATGGAAATAGTGACATTTTCTATCACTATTTTGAGACAGATTCTGTCACCATACTGATATATATAGTGGGATTAGGGAAGTTGAGAAGTTCTGTGTGAGAATGGAGGCATTTCCCCAGTTTTAGGGACTCTCTACGTGGTTTGCAGGGAAAACATTATAGGATTGGATCTTTGAGGGGAAAAGGGAAACTGTTTTCTTAACTCACTACTTCATAGCCTACTGTGATAGTCTGGCTGTTTCCTATTGAAAACATATATTGAGCCAGAAATACTGACTTTTCATTCTGGTTTCTGCTGCACAGGCTGCCGCCCATACTCCATCCCGCCTTGCGAGCACCACACCAACGGCACTCGGCCCCCCTGCAGCGGCGAAGGCGGAGAGACCCCCGAATGTGTCAAGCAGTGTGAAGATGGCTACACACCTGGATACAAGCAGGACAAGCACTATGGTAGAGAACGCTTACAAAATCTGAAAAAAATAATCCAAAACACTTAAGATACCAAGCATTTTGGATATAAGGGATACTAAACCTGTAATGAAGTTTAATTCAAGTTCAAACTGTGTTAGGTGGAGTTATGTTTTCATATAGGAAACTAGATTTTCTGCTTAATGCATAGGTAATAAATGGCTGCTCTGATTTAAGAATGTCTTCCATAAAACTCAAAGCAAAAATATATAAATCTGTCTAGTAATGTCATATCCTCAAGTTAAGACTACTGACAGATTTGAATGTTTATGCAAGCAAAAGCAGTTTAATTGGGTGCCAAAATGAACAGTGTGTGAATTAAAGTATTTTCTAGTCCCTGCGATAAAAGAGGTTCAAGAAAGGATTTGGGGGGGGGGGGGGTAAGCAGCTGCTATCAAATATTTCCCAGTCGCTAACCTGAACTGTAGAGAATAGGGACCTGTTTCGTGTCCCTGTTGGAAGCCCCGATCCGTTTTTTGGGAGCCTCCCAAAATTGGGAGGACAGATACGTGTTTTCGCTTTGGGATTCCGAAATATCTGTTTTCTATCGGCCCATTATGGGGATCAGGGGCTTCCCAGGCTCCTCTTCCCATCATTTTAGGCATTAAAGCTATTTTACTCTAGAGGAGAGGTGCTTAGCTGCAGGCAGGCACGTGCTTTAAGGAGGCTTCTTACTATTGCACTCCAGGACAGGAATAACCCTCTGACTTTAAAACACCACACGTTGAGTAGGGAAAAACATCGTTTTATTGAAAATAAGTAACAGCAAAGTAAAAAAGCACTTTAAAGGAATAGGTAAATCCAATTAAGTAAGAAGATAAGCAGGAACAAATTAGTCCAAGGTAAAGTTCAGCAAAGTCCAAAAACAAAGTCCAGACTTCTCTAACAAAATCCAAACCCAGGAAACGTTGATCCAAGGCAGGAGTATGTAATCACAAGAGACAAAAAGCCAAACCAAGAAACAAAAAAACCTTAAGCATGAATCTTCCAAACACTACTTCCATGAAACAAGGACAAAAACTTAGCGATGCTTCATCTGGCTACAATTTCCATGCTTGGAACTTTTATCCCCTTGTTAAGCTATTCCAAGCACTCAGGAACTGGTTTAGCTTTCCTTGGGTGCCCCTTATCTTTTTCTGTTGAAGGCATTGCTCGACCTATCTGTTTTGACTAATTTCTTCCTGTCTATCTATATCAGTGGTTCTCAACCTGGGGTCCCCAGATGTTTTTGGCCTACAACTACCAGAAATCCCAGCCAGTTTACCAGCTGTTAGGATTTCCCCAGGTCTCGGCGGTGGCCGGGAGAGCTTTTGCGCAATTAAAACTTGTGCGCCAGCTGTGCCCGTACCTTGGGAAGTCAGATCTGGCCACAGTGGTCCACGCTCTTGTTACATCCCGAATAGATTACTGCAACGCACTCTACGTGGGGTTGCCTTTGAAGACTGTTCGAAAACTTCAATTAGTCCAGCGGGCGGCAGCCAGATTACTCACCGGAGCGTCATACAGGGAGCATACCCCCCCTCTGTTATGTCAGCTCCACTGGCTGCCGATTCAGTTCCGAGCACAATTCAAAGTGCTGGTTTTGACCTACAAAACCCTGTACGGTTCCGGTCCAGTGTATCTGTCCGAACGTATCTCCCTCTACGTCCCACCCCGGACTCTGAGATCATCTGGGGAGGCCCTGCTCTCGACCCCACCACTCTCACAAGTGAGGCTGGTGGGGACGAGGAGCAGGGCTTTCTCAGTGGTAGCCCCTCACCTGTGGAACTCACTCCCGGGGGAAATCAGGGCATCATCATCCCTCCTCTCCTTCAGGAGGAGGTGAAGACGTGGTTATGGGACCAGGCCTTTGGGCAATCTGGCAATTAAATAAGACAATCAGGTGAATAAGACCAACAGGATTGATGAAGTGGAACGGAAAACTAGAACTATGAGTTAGCAATCGCTGACCTTGTAAGAGAGGAACTGGGTTTGTATTGGTTTTTATTGATTTTATTGATATATGAATTAGTGTGATGTAATTGTGTAATTGTTTAACTTTGTGTCTTGATTGTTTTGTACTGCAGGCATCGAATCGTGCCTTGCTTCTGTAAACCGCCCTGAGTCCCCTTCGGGGTGAGAAGGGCGGGGTAAAAGAACCCCAAATAAATAAATTTCTAGGAGTTGAAGGCCAAAAACATCTGGGGACCCCAGGTTGAGAAACACTGATCTAGATGCTCATTAGTGTCTGCAGGTGCCAAGTTGTTTTCAAGTTCCAAATCCTGGGAACTCTCTGGGAGCAATTCAGGGAGTAAACCATCATTCCTAGACCCTGTAGGGACATTCTTATGGGAAACTAAACTTTGAACAGGTGCCTCTATATCATTCTCCGCATCAATATCCCTGACCAAACCATTGCTATCTTGACCTTCATTGACATCATTCCCCACATCCAAAGCACCCTGATCCTGAAACACAATCACAGGCTGAACTCCAACACTTACCTGTTTCTACTCTAAAGGAGAGGTGCTCGGCTGCAGGCAGGCACACATGCCTTCACACCACACACATACTTTCTTTCCAAGTCAAGGAGGCAACAGGCAAGTTCTCATTCTTACTCTAGAGGAGGCACTCAGCTGCAGCGCTTTCTGGGCCTGCACACCACATACACATGCACTCTCTTTCCAAATCAAGGAGGCATGGAGAGCCACGTACTTACAAAAAGCAGACAAGGAGCTGGGATTGGCTCCCGCTTGCTTTTGTGTCAAGCTGATTTTTGTACCGGGAGGGAGCTTCCTGTTATGTGGTTTGGCACACAACTCTATTAGAGAAGCATTAAAGGGAAGCAGAAAGTAAGAGGTGGAACATTTCTGATTTTTATTTTTTTCTTCTTTTCAGGAGTTACTTCATATGGCGTCCCTCGCAGTGAGAAGGAAATAATGGCTGAGATCTACAAGAATGGGCCAGTGGAAGGAGCCTTCGTTGTGTACTCTGACTTCCTCTTGTACAAATCAGGTAATTCGGTCTTTGGATAACACTATTTAAAAGTAACCACATTGAAGTTGCAGAGAAATATCTATGAAGTTTGGGTTGTTGTAGGTTTTTTCGGGCTGTATGGCCATGGTCTAGAGGCATTCTCTCCTGACGTTTCGCCTGCATCTATGGCAGGCGTCCTTAGAAGTTGTGAAGTCTACTAGAAGCCAGGAAAATGGGGTTTATATATCTGTGGAATGAACAGGGTGGGACAAAGGACTCTTGTCTGCTGGAGCTAGGTGTGAATGTTTCAACTGATTACCTTGATTAGCATACAATGGGCTGACTATGCCTGGAGCAAACATTTGTTGAGAGGGTTTGAAGTTTGCTCTTCAAAAGAATTGAAGACATGGCTTAAAGGCAGGAGAGGGTCATGAGAAATTTGGAGGATGAGGAAGAAGTAGTCATCATCTTACACAGTTCGGCTTTGGTCCAGAATCCCCAACAATACAGTATGTCCCCTGTATCCACGGATTCTACAACCACGAATCCCCAAAATAAACATTGATGTTGGCAGTTTATTTAAGGGACATTATATCACTACACCATTGTTTATAATGGGACTTCAGCATCCAATGATTTTGGTATCCACAGGATGCGGTAGAACCAAACCCCAGCAGATACTCAAGGCTGATGATAAATGCCCAATGCATGCATCTGTTTTCAAAACGTAAAACTTCGTTTCCAAAGACATTTCATTTTTCAGAGCCTGTTCCAGGCTCTTTGGTGAGATAGGGTGGTCTATAAATAAATTGGGAATCCCCAGTGGCACAGTGGGTTAAACCACTGAGCTGCTAAACTTGTTGACCAAAAGATCACAGGTTCGAATCCAGGGAATAGTGTGAGCTTCTGCTGTCAGCCCCAACTTCTACCAAGTTAGCAGTTCAAAACATGCAAATGTGAGTAGATCAATAGGAACCGCTCCAGTGGGAAGGTAACGGCGCGTCATGCAGTCATGCTGGCCAAATGTCCTTGGAGGTGTCTATGGACAACGCTGGCTCTTCTACTTAGAAATGGAGATGAACACCAACCCCCTGAGTCGGACACAGCTGGACTTAATGTCAGGGGAAAACCTTTATCTTTACCTTCCTACAAATAAAGTATATTTATTTATTTATTTATTTATTTATTTATATCGGCTTTATACTGGCACAACCTGGGGATCACAATCAGACACAGTGAAGACATCTGCCCTTGCGCTATGCTGCTCTGCTGCTGAGTATGCATGTCCAGTGTGGAACACATCTTACCACACTAAAACAGTGGATGCGGCTCTTAATGAGACATGCTGCATTATCACGGGATGTCTGCACTCTACATCACTGGAGAAATTACACTGTCTAGCCGGTATCGCACCACCTGACATCCGCCAGGAAGTAGCAGCCAATAATGAAAGGACCAAGGCAATGACATCTCCGGCCCACCCCCTGTTTGGGTATCAGCCAGCACGCCAATGACTTAAATCAAGTAATAGTTTTCTAAGATCTACAGAGACATTCACTGGAACACCCCAGCAAGCGAGAGTCCAAAAGTGGCAGGCTCAAACCCAGAACCCCATTTGGTTGATACCAAATGAGAGACTCGCTCCTGGGCACACAGAAAACTAGGCGATTTGGAAGGCGCTGAACAGACTGTGCTTTGGCACCATGAATCTCATGAAATGACAGATCCCAAGATTTCATAGTTTGTAGCCATGCTGGCTAAACAAAGAACTGTAATTTGTATGGCAAACACCTGGCATAACACTGGGGGTGGAGTTGAGGGAATTGAGTAGGAACCTCATTTGGATTATTCTTGCATTCGAAAGGTGTAGGATTTAACTTTTTTCACCCCTCCTTGTTTCTACTTGCAGGTGTCTATCAACATGTTTCTGGAGAGGAAGTTGGTGGCCACGCCATCCGTATCCTGGGCTGGGGCGTCGACAATGGCACCCCTTACTGGTTGGTGGCCAATTCCTGGAACACAGACTGGGGTGAAAATGGTAAGAGACTCTACAGTTTTGAGCACATATGAGACCAGTTTCGTGCCTTGATGGCATTGTGGACAGAGTGGGCAAGTTGAGACTCTTCTGCCAGATTTCATCTTACATCCACCATGTCTAGATCCAGGGAAGTAATGCTACCCCTCTATTCCGCTTTGGTTAGACCACACCTGGAATATTGTGTC